TGCCCCCTTGTGAAGCGTAGATTTTTACGGTTGTCGTCTTGCTGAAATTCTCCAGCAGGTGGTAGTGGCCGGTTCCTATCCACAGTCATTCATTCTCGAAATTTCGTTTTTCCGCCTAATTTCGGTGGTCGAGTGCTACAAGATTCCTTGGCAGCATCAAATTGGTATCTGCTTGGTCTTTCGAAACTCGTAGCTCAGCAGAGGGCTCAAAAACCTGAGCGTAATTGAAATTCTTTCAATAATAGAGTAACGCAAAACACGTTCTGATCATTTCTTTTAATGCTGTAATATCAGTCCGGTCCGGAGCAAACAACATTAGATTACAATTACCGGATTGCAAACTTAGCGGGGGTCCACTGTTTTCCAGTAATGAGAAAAACGATTACGGAAAAAAACCAAAAAAACCCCCCCCAGAAAAATTGGAAAAAAACAGAAATGGGAAATGAAAAAAAAATTTCACCGGACTGCGGTCATTTTTGATGTCTTTAAATATTTTAATTTGTTTCTTTTATGCGTTTATCCCCGCTGATTTAAAATCTGCAAATCGGAATTTTCGCCATCAGCTCTGTTTTTTGCTTTTAGCCAATACCTTTTTTTATATTGTTGGTTTATTAGATATAAATGCATTACAAAAATATTTATTTTTAGCCAGATTTTTTATAGTTTGTTGGAGTATAGTACATGTTGAAGAATAACTAATTTTTTCTGCAATTAATTAACATGAATAGACAATGTAAAAAATGACACAAAAACAATGTTTTTCGCTACATATGTGGTAAAGACACGTTGCCAGGGCAAACAGGAACATTACGAGTTCAGCATATGTGAAGGCCAGTTATTTTTATATTTACACGCTTTCTTTTGATATGGAATTGCGAGACCAGGTCAAGACGTTGCTCCTACAAGCTATGGCGTTGAACATATGTTAGCCATGCTTATAGATGATGGAACGTGGGATACGTAAAGGTGCATACGTAAAGATACATGCTATTATGCGCGAGGATGAAAAGGATCATCTTCAGCACATGTTGCTACTTTTGCAATGACGATTTTGCAGGGTAAATTAAGGTCAAAGAGAGCCTTCAAAGGTAGAGGGATATCAAGGGTCACTGGGTCATTTAAAATGATGGGCTGAACGTTTTGGTTGGTGTCTGAAAAGAATGAACCTGGTAGCCATACATTCACGAAAGGCGTCTAAAGTAAAATTATTTCTACAAAAAATAATTTTGTCGTGTGTAAAAAAAATGGACTAATGGCCTTAGCAGTCTGACGCGCCCGGAAACACGAAATAATCAGGCGACCCATATAAAATTAACTGGTTCCTTTAATGCTGTATGCGCGATTCTGTCTCGGCCAGCATTTATCGTCGCCTCGTGCTTTCCCCGTACTTCTCACTCCTGCCTAGTGCTCGATTTTAATTATAGGGAGTGAACATAATGTTTTAATAAAATATTGGCAGTGGCTGTATTTGTTTGGTTTTGAAATATTCGCTAGATCACAAAGCTAGATGAAGCAAAATGATTTACAAGGTTTGTTAGCAAAATATATTCAAATTTGTTTACAGAGTCGCAAGGTGTTCTAGATTAACAACATGACTAAATATTTTTTCGAAATATAACCCTTTTTGCTTCAGTAAAGGTTTACTAGCGAAATATACACGCCGTTAACGTCTCTAGAAGTGGGTTTGTTCTTTATTAAATCTGTCATGTTGTTTTGCAAGTCGATGTCGACGGTACTTCTAGAAAATCATTGTTTAACATGCTTAATTTTTTCGCTAATATATTTTAGGGCCAAAGGGGACAATTTAACTTCCTTAATGGTGCACCATCATGTTTTAGCTCAAAATTAAAATAATTTGTATTCATATGGAAATACTAATTTGAAATATTATGCTATCAACATGTGATAATTGTTTGGATAATGTTGAGCGCGATTCCACAAAAAATGTTGGTTGAGGGGGGGGCGGAGGTACACTCGCCCCCCCCTCCCCGACCCCAGAGATCCCCTCAGAGGGGAATGTGCACCTCAGCACCTTGGCACTTTGCCCTTCAGAAAAGGCAACTGCGCAGCAGCGTCAATGAAAGAGACTCCTCTCAGAGAACGCAGTCACTGATGCGTGTCAGCATTCCTTGGCTAAATAGTGTAGCTTACAGCGTGCTCGCCAGTCACGTAAAGGTTCACTTCTTTACTATAATGTTCAAAACGCGCTCTGTTCTTCCATGTGAAATTCGTGACGGGTAAAACGAAAATGACTGCGGAAATTTTCACAAGCCCGAAGAGAAAGCCTTTTCATTTGCTCCAGTTCAACTTAAATATCAGTAAAATGTGGCGTCGCCGGAGCTGTAAACTGTTTTAAAAATAGTTTCATGCGTTGACAAGTTTTTCCAGGCCCATCCTTGTTCAAATATGTTCTTCCAGTATCAGGCATTGGTCTTACTAATGAATGGCTGTGGTGCACAGGAAGTGGTCTTGCCGGCAGTACCGGAATGTCACACAGCCGCACACTCAAAAGAGTTCTACTCGAATACTCTGTACTGATTCTATCACCGAGCGAAGTGGCCCAGCATCTAGCGCGCTGGCTTCGCATTCGGGAGACCCGGGTTCAATTCTCATGCCGGCCATCCTGACCGGGGTTTTCGTGGGTTCCCTTGGTCTTCCAGACGAATGCTGGGATGATTCTACTGAAAGGCCACGACCGCGAAACCGGTGTCGCTAGCCTAATTTGTTAACTACGTGAAGTCACGAAGGTTAGGCGAATTCGAGACATCGTTGCTTCCTGGTTGGGTGACTGACTGGGAACCCCGCTATCCAACGGCGCCAAGGCCAATTGCCCTTTACGGGACATGTAATACAACTAGTATGTCCCGATAGTGCATGCGTTCCGACTCACATCCGAAATATGACTAATTAGTGAATTAGCCGGGTAATTCGCACATTGAGCCGATCGTTTAGATAAAATATATTACTTACGGATCATTTCGGTCTTCATCAGGCTAACGTT